GGGAAATATTTTGTGTGATAGAATTGTTGTGAGAATGATCCAAATTTGCAATGTAGGTATCAATGTGCTGTGTGGGGTGGGAATACTTTCGACCCCATATGCTATGCAACAAGGAGGATGGTTGGGGCTTTCCATTTTATTGATATTTGCTGTGCTTTCTTTCTACACTGGAATTCTCCTACGTGCTTGTTTGGATAGCAAACCTGGGCTTGAAACTTACCCTGACATTGGCCAAGCTGCTTTTGGTGCCATCGGCCGTGTCGCCATCTCGGTAGCTGCCTTCTTATTCTCCCTTCATTCAGTTTAAATTCCATTTTCGCCTAATAAAACTACTTTTTACAATATTGTGCTTATATTTAAAGAAATTTTGTGAGTGTAGTGATATCTTTAAATTGAGATTAAAGAACAAATGAAAACAAAGGGACAAAAACTTTCAGGCTAAATGAATCAGTATTTGATTTTTTCTTTCGTTTAACATTTTGTTTTGATTTCTTGTGGATGCAGATAATATTGTACGTGGAATTATACGTAAGTACTACTTCTTCGAGTTGGGGTTTTAATTATTATCATAATTTTGTTGGATAATGGTTAACGTAGGGGCCGGCCCCACCTAAATTTGATATCTTACGTTACAGACCAAGTGGCAAGTCTCTTGTCCGCCACGCTCTTTGATGACTTAGGAACCACATTTTGATTTTGGGTCTCTTTCTGTGTCCAGAGAGGAAATGAATGTGATTTTTGAATGATGATTTTTCTTTTTAAATATGACAACCAAAACAAAAGAAATTATCAAAACTCTTCTTTTGCATGTGATGATTGATGTCTTGGGCAGAGGCTTATCAAGTGTTTGAGAAAATGACCCAGAGAAGATATCAGCCTAACCACCCATGTCGGATTTTGTAGTGTAGCTACTTTCGACCTTTGGCTAATTGAATAGGCAAAACGACTCTTCTTTTTTTTCTTTTCGTTTTTTGAAAAATGGAACTTAGCTGAGAAGCAAGAACCATAATCATCATCATCCTCTTAGCCTTGGCAATTTCTGTTCCACAAATCTATTTATTCTCATTCTTAAGAGCTTTTCTATTTTCAGATAAGGGTAAAGAATCTTCTATTTACCCTTGTTCTTTTCATTCTCAGTAGGTAGAATCTCTGGCAATATTAGTGAATTTAAACCAGAACACAATTTTAACCCGAAAATTTTGATATCATGTGTAAGCTCTAATAAATGTAACGGACTCCCCACTGGGCCAATAAACATCTGGTGAAAACTGAAAAGCTAAAGCTTTTTCTTAGCTTCTTGTCAATATTTGCACGGTGCTTGTGTCTGCTAATGCAACATGCTTTCATTTTCGTGATGATTATGAAACAACAAATTAGGTCTTATGTTAACGAAGTGACCCAACTAGATATGCTAGTCTTGCAGGCTTCTTGTATCGAGTACGTAATTCTGGAGAGCGACAATTTGTCTACATTGTTTCCTCGTGCGCACATAAGTTTTGGTGGATTCGAATTAAGTGCACACCTTTTATTCGCTATAGCGACTGCCCTGGCTGTTCTTCCAACCGTTTGGCTTCGGGATCTCAGTATTCTAAGTTATATCTCTGGTAAGCTAGCTTAAATTTATCATGTCAAAGTATATGTATGTTTTTATGAGTTTTATTGGTTAGTCTTGTATTGGCTTCTTTGCTTTTGTTTTTAGTTGACATCTACTCTCCATGAATTGGTATTTCCGCACATCATGTAGCACCAAGTTCTTAGCCAAAATATTCTGCTTTGAAGATTCACAATGAAACGTATATATGACACAACACCAACACGATGCTGTGTCATTTAATCTTATATTAAGTCTATTTATTATGTTTAAAAGTGTGAATGGCGCCTAACAAGTAACTTAGTGTCTAACACATGTCTATTAAACCATCAAGTGAATAGCATGTATTCTACACCTATTAGAATGCTCAAGCTCATACAAATCTTGCTGTCATGATTTTTCTTGTTCTTATTGAAATGCCCCTAATTCAAACCGAGACTTCCAAAAAATCGCTATTAATGATTTTTTTTCCCCATTCTTCCTTACAGCTGGTGGAGTCATTGCATCAATCGTGGTGGTTATATGCTTGTTTTGGGTTGGGTTGGTAGATGATGTCGGTTTCCATGGCACAGTGACTCCACTGAAGCTCTCAACCCTCCCAGTTGCTCTGGGTCTGTACGGTTTCTGCTACTCAGGACATGCTGTATTTCCCAACATCTATAGCTCAATGGGTAAACAAAGCCAATTTCCAGCAGTCCTTTTGACATGGTAATTTCAAAGCTTCATCCTTTTTCACACACAATTTGTCTTGTCCATCTCCTACTGTGTGCTTCTGTGTGTCGCGATTGATTTGATTTAAATATGCATCATTCATATGGGCCTGTGAAGTATTAACTTTGTAAGCCTTATGTTTGTTTTTGTTTTTATCATTTTCTTCGTTGATAAAGTCGGCTTTAATCAAAATTATCGACACTCATTTATTTAGTATAATATAAGGAAAAAAGGGGCTCGACTATGAAGAAATCTTCGTGTTGCTTGATATGTCTGTTTGTCACCCTTCTGAATTGAGGGTCGAGAAGATCTCGCCAACTATATAAAGAAAATTAATCACCTGAGATGTTTACAACATTTACTTCCCTTGAAAATGCAGTTTTGGTATTTGCACTTTGATGTATGCTGGAGTCGCTATTATGGGATACTTAATGTTTGGAGAATCGACATTATCCCAGTACACTCTTAACCTGCCCCAGGATTTGGTTGCCTCAAAGATTGCTGTGTGGACTACGGTACGGTGGTCAATTTTTCCTCAACCAATCCATTCTTGATGCTTATTTTCTCATCTTTATCAAAATAACCATATATGTTTCATCGCCTCTATTTATTCTCCCACTGAACTGCTTGTTTGTTTATTGTGCTGTGAAGTTAAACAAATAAAATCGGTTGTCTTAGTTCTTCTTAATATCGAATGGTGGCATAAGGACCCTATTGCACTCCTATTTTTAAACTCTTGTATTTAGAACATATCTGTTAGAATTGGCAAGCTTGCCACGTGCTTGTACTGTTTGTTTGTTAAAGAAAGTTGTTTTATGATTTGAAAGTATTAGATATATTAAATGTTGGATTGATATGATTTGGTCGTTAAGTCAGTGAAGGTATCTTATGGGAAAATGTTTACGATTTCGGAGTTGTTTATGCTGTTACTAAAGGAATCGAAAATGTTTCAGTCCCCTGTTTCCCTTGCATAGTCTAATTTTAGTGTTCTGGAGTTGTTTATGCTGTTACTCTTGGACTCAATTTCTACTGTCACTGCCTGAAAACTATTTTCTCATGTTTCTTGTTCTTTGGCAGGTAGTAAACCCCTTCACAAAATATCCTTTCAGACTCTGATTTTTACTTGTTACAAGTATTGATTGGGATTGTAGCCTAGCTCTTTAAGTGAACTTCACTTCCATATTCTTTGCTTCCAGTTGTTTCTCACTGCAGTAGGGTTTTGGGCCTCATATTTCGTAATATGCAGAGCGTAACATATATAATTACTCATAGCAATCAGAAACTAATAATATGCTCCTCATTTCATTTTTTCATTTCATTTTTTCTGTTTTTGTTCTACCATAATTCGGAAGAATGATGTTTCTCCTTAACTAGTCCCACGTATGCGTTAACGATATCTCCGGTTGCAATGAGTCTGGAGGAGTTCATACCACCAAACCATCCCAAGACTCACATTTATTCCATCCTAATTAGAACTGCTCTTGTAATTTCTACCCTACTGGTCGGTCTTTCTATCCCCTTTTTTGGTAAGTATATCTTCACATTTCTATTTCTGTACCAATTTATGGTGAAGAAAATGCCTTGTTTTCTTTAAGCTCCTTCTGGCCTTGAAAAATGAGTGCCAATTTTTGGATCTTCACTTTTCCAACGCAGGTCTTATGATGTCATTGATTGGATCCTTGCTAACAATGCTTGTGGTAAGTTTGCTCGTCCTTGCACTGTGGATCCCTGCTGGTACTATAACTCATTTATTAACGGCTGAACTATCAAATGTGTCTTGCAGACTTTAATACTCCCTTGTGCCTGTTACCTCAGCATTTTGAGGGGGAAAGTAACGTTTTTACAGGTGAAAACATCCTCTTCATTGCATTTTCTTTTATTCGCCAACTTAAACGAATTAGAATAGTCGATTGCATAACATCATTTTACGGCACGATCTTCTTATCCTCCTCTCTTTTCTTTTCTTTTTTTTCCCTTTACAGATAACACTTTGTTGCATAGTTATAGCAGTAGGAGTTATTGCATCTGCATTTGGATCATATTCATCTCTCAAGAAAATCATTGAGAAATTAAGCGCCTGAAGTTTTTGTCTTCCCAAACACCAAGAGTCACTGGTTATGCAGCATAGATTCTGGTAGATTTTGTTTTCCTTTTTAGATTGTATATTGAATTATAGAGGAACTCTAGATATTATGTTCTCCCCATGAAACGTTGGTGTCTTGTTCATTGATGCCTGTTTTTCCCCTTGTGTTGTCAGTATCTTTGTTTATTTTAAAAAATTATTCCATGTTCATTAGAAATTTAGAGATCAACCAAATCCATTTTGTTACAGTAATGAAATTATATTACTAGAGATAGTGAATACAGCCCTTGGTTTTCCTGATTTCTCGAGTACAATGGCCGCACATTACGGCTGCAGCTTTCTTTGTCTTTTCCCCAATTTGCAATAAAACCTTTAATATCCATCAAGATGTTGGATTACAGTTAGAACCTGTTTGGAACAAGTTTGCAAGCGCTTGCGCTGGATTAAGATTTTAAGAACTGTTTTATAGCCTTACTTAAGGATTGGGGAAGGTGAAAAAGAAAAAAACTAGGTTTAGTTACAAGTTTAGTTTAATCCCTAAACGATTCAGGTTTATCTCTTTTTGATTCATGAACTTTAAAAAGTGTAGAAGTTTTCGAACTATCAATAGGCTCCATACTTTTGTAATTTTGTCTAATAGGTCAAATTCGACCTATTTGAAGCTTTTTAAAATTTCTTACATGGTTTTCAGGATATTAAACTTGCACTCAGCACAGTTTTGAACACCCTCAACAATAGCTGCAATTGACTTATTCTTCCTCAAACAACTACTGTACTTGATCCAGCAGTTTAAGAAGCCATGATTCTTTACACAAGTAAATCTCCATTCCAAAAAAGAAAGAGAAAACCTCTGTGTCATTCCTTTCAACGTTGTTCAACAAGTTCTCACAACTTTGGGTCTCCAAGCTAGGCAAATCAAATAATCATTCCCTCCAATAAATGGATTCATAATCCGTTTTCTCAAAGGTTCCCCTTTTGATCCTTCAGAATCACTGTTAGAAGTTGAGCTCTTTTCTTGAAGCAGAGGGCTCTCAAGATCGCTTGCTTCCACAATCCGATTTACCATCTCCAAGACTTCGCTCATTTTAGGGCGTACCACAGCCTTCCGAACCAAACAGCGGTTAGCTACAGCTGCTAGTTTTTGGGCAGCTTTAATAGAATAGTTACCTCCAAGTCTTGGGTCAAGTATCAGCTCAAACTTCTTTAAGTCAGATAGGTGTGGTCTCACCCATTCCAAGAGCTTTTCCTGGCCTTTGGGGCGGTTCCGATCTAGGGGACGCCTACCAGTTATCAGTTCATACAGGAAAACTCCATAGCTCCATACATCAATTTTTGCTGTTAGTCGTCCTGTTTGAAGGTATTCAGGTGCTGCATATCCAATTGTTCCTACAATCTGCACAAGGATTGTCTATTACTGATGCAGAATAGATAGAAAAATATAACTGATTCAAACAAATAGATTTTAGATTAGTTGCATTCGAACCACAGTAGAGACATGACTTAATCCGTCCGAAGGCCCTAGCCTAGCCAATCCAAAATCAGACAACTTAGCATTCCACTGTTCATCCAAAAGTATGTTTGAAGATTTGAAATCCCTAAATATTATCTGCACAAAGAATGATATCATTTAGGCCACCATAGATGTACTTCCTAGAATGTGTGAATCCAACTAGTTCTTCTCTCATCTCATCCAAATAGAATTGCATACGTTCTTCTCCCTATACAATATAGATTTTCACGGACGTATAAACGAGAAGGTTCATCATTAATCAACGCTAGAGCGATAGTTAAGTTCATCAGAGGTACCTGGAAATCCATTCCTTCATGTAGATATGCCAAGCCACGAGCCGTATCCTGAGCTATTTTCATTCTTATTGCCCATGGAAGAGAACTGTTTAACTTGCTTGACAAGTGATCTTGCACACTCCTGTTAGGCATATATTCGTATACGAGTAACCGCTGGATCCCTCTTTCATCGTCCTCTGCACAATAGCCTAGTAACTTGACAAGATTTGGATGCTCGACAACGCCCAAAAAGTTCACCTCTGTTACCCATTCCTTGTGACCCTATAGGAAAGGCCAGAAACCGAAATCGTAAAACTAAGGAACCTCTGAAGTGCAATAGTAATCATTTTTTTATTTTTGGAAGGGGAGCTAATTTAGAATACAACCGTTAGTTCTTATACATACTGTCCAATGAACTCATCCAACAAAAGCATTTTCAACTCATTTGATAGGAATAATTGGAAATGCAGCTAAGATGGATGTAATTGGTTGGTACACTTGTTCTTTTCTATCTCTAAGCAGTTCATATTCAAAGGAATTCGATACGGAGTAGACGAAAAACTGTAAGAACCAAAAGTATCGACATTCTACAGATCGATGGAAATATAAAGGAAAAACAACAACCAAATCATTTATTAGCCTCACGGTTTTAAAACACGTCTACTAGGAAGAGGTTTCCACACCCTTACAAGAAATGCTTTGTTCTCCTCTCCAACCGACACATCTACTAGGAAGAGGTTTCCACACCCTTACAAGAAACGCTTCGTTCCTCTCTCATCTACTAGGAAGAGGTTTCCACACCCTTACAAGAAACGCTTCATTCCTCTCTCCAACCGATGTGAGATCTGACAGAGGAGCTTTTCTATAATTTCTTTTGGCTTTGGATAAATGGAAGAATGTTTTATCTTTCCCTTTATTCAACATGGCTCTTTCTTTCTCCAAGAAATCAAATGCACATATGAAGAATTCTCAGATAACCCAAGATGATGGAAATAAGTTCATATCAAAGAGAAAGAGAGAGAGGGAACTTGCCTGCAATCCTCTTCTACTTAACTGCTTAACAGCAATGTCTATTCTTTTATGTGGATCCTCTGAGTTTCGGATAGCGCCCCTATATACACTACCAAATCCGCCTTCTCCGATCATAAGCGATCGACTGAAGTTCTTCGTGGCTGCTTTCAAATCTGAGAATGTAAAGTCCCTAAGATTACTCTGTCTTTGAGACAAAGCTGCAAATGATTTAGCAGAAGATGCTACACTAAACTCTGAAACATTCTGAGAATTCAAATCAGTGTCAAACATCTTAAGATCTTGATTAATCGACGTAGAATTCGAGGTACACGAGATAATCGAATTAGATTTCGTAGCTGTTCTAGGCTCAACAGTTCTCCTCTCATTGCTGAACAAATGAAAACACTTCATAATCTCCTCCAAAACCTGATTCCCTCTCTGCACAAAAACAAAACCACACAAATGTTAAGAAGAAAACTCTAGGTGATCAGGTATATATTCTAGCTATATAATGCATTAGCCATCTCTAACTGTTCTTGATTCAAGAGGACAAAGCCAGAAAATCCCAAAAAAGTTGTTGAAGAAGAAATTCCTTTCTTTCTAGCTTTTGAATTCAAAAACCCAGATTGATTTTCCATCTCCCTCTTACCAAGATCAAGGAAAATCTGAAAGTTCTTGGAAACCTTAGAGAAGTTTTGAGAAAATCAAGAAATCCTCGTTGTTTTTTCACAGAAAACTATGAAGATTAGGGGGAGAGAGAGAGGGAAAGAGAGAGAATGCCCTTTCATGTATGTCCAAACTTGCAAACCAGCAGAAAAATGAACAGTGAGGAGTTAAAGAAGAGGGTAGCAGGATTCAGAAATGGGTATTGAGTCTCGATTGAAGAACACGACGAGCTCCCCATGATGTAGGGAAAGTCAATATACAAGGCAGCTAAAATTGATACCCATTTCAAAAAACCCCTTAAGAGGGGGATAGAAACAGTAAACACCGGACTAGAATGTTCGAGGAAATGGGGGATTTGGGTATGAAAAGAAGAAGAAAGAGTTGACATTTTTTCTTTTAAAAAATTTGTAACAAACAAAAAAGTCTACCAAATGGAATAATGAATACATAGAAGCATGAGAATGAGTCATTTATGGCAATGGCCCATATTATTAATTACTTAATACTCTTGCAAGTTGTCTACTCGACTCCTTTTCTGGTTGACATTTTCACAAAAATGAATATTATCTTAGCCTAAATTCTTTTTTAGTTCAGGTTTCCACAAAATTGTCCAAATAGATATTATTTTAGACTAAGTTCTTTTTTTTTGTTCATATTTCCAAAAAATCGTCCAAATGAATATTATTTTAGCCTAAGTCCTTTTCTAAATCACATTTCCACAAAATTGCCTAAATGGATATTATTTTAGCCTAAATCCTTTACTTATGACTTAATTGTATTTGTCAATTTTTTATTTAATAATAAGGTTTGATATATTTAATTTTTTAAAACAACTTCAATTTTATGTTTGAGAGGAGCCTAAATTTCATTTTTTTCATAGATTTATAAAGTCATTGAACTCTTATTTCTAGGTACTAAGTTGAGTTCATTAAATTTTTAGTAATAAATCTGCATATTAGTTTTTATTTATTTTAATCTATATAGTTTCCACCAAAATTTATGGAATTAGTTCAATAATGATAATAAATTTCGTGCAAAAAAAAAGATGACTAAATGGACTAATTTTAGATTTATTGAAAATACAATAAAATACAAGAACTAAATTTGACGAAAACAAAGTAAATTGACCAAAATAATATTTTAATCTAAAATCAATTTAATCAGATCATAAAAGTAAAAGTAAGAGCAAGATGATTTAAAAGTTTGTTTTAAAATAGAAAACAGGTTAATCTTTAAAAGAATTATCGTTAAAACTAAAATATAGATACTATTTAATGTAAATTAACGAGCAAAATGATACAAAGTATTGAGTGAAATAAAATAATGTTATAGTAAAAATGCCACGTTCAAAATCATATAATTAATAATTTAAAATTAATTTAACATTTAACTTTACACTTTTAAATACGATTTTAATATCATCGAAGTGGAATTAAGACATTCGAACCTCTTATCTCTTAATTTGAGAGAGTACATATCTAAATCAGTTGAATTAGGTTAACATCCTATTGAAAACAAAATATTTCAATTCGAATTGACAACTTTTAAAAGTAGAGTAAAGGAAGATATTAAGTTTGCGTACCGTGTAAAGACGAAACCCCATGCTTGTGGAAGATTCGAACTCCTATCTCGCCCGAAGAAGATCATCCCATTTTACTTTTCATATCCATCAATCTCAGCTAAATCAACCTGATTCAAATCAGGAAGCTGCGTAGCAATGATATGAAGTAGTAGCAGCCATAGTTTTGTATACACAATTCAAAGTTCCTTCAGAACATGCCAAAGAAGAAGGCAACCAAGTCCCTCAAATTGGCGTCTAAAATGACCCTTAAAGACAAGTCGTCGAGGGGCCAACCAAATGGTTTGCCTGTACACTCAAGAAAAACCCACCAAGATTTCCTCCTTTGATCTCTGACGGCTATGGAACGTATGGTTCTTGAGCTTTTTTAGCTCCAATCTATAAAACCCATTTCTCCTTTCTCCTTTAGTTCGTTGATATCTCGAAGTTTGAAGCTATGAAGAACATGAAGAACACCAGAATTTCTTTCACTTTCATGGCTGTACTTCTTGTCGGATTGAGCTGGGAACAGTTTGTTCTTGGCCAGAATCAGCTTGCCAGCCCTGCAGCACTGCCATTTATCTTGTCCATGGCCAACGCTCAGCTCTCTAATTTGAGCTCAATCATCAACGCCGAACTCAGTAGCCACTTCCGTTTTTGCTCCAGAGACACGTGAGTTTTACCCCCGTACTTTTAATTCTGTGCTCTGTTTGGTTATTGGGAATTTGAGTGTAACGGTGGGCTTTACCGCTAATAGATATTGTCCTCTTTTGGGCTTTTCTTCAAGGTCTTTAAAATGCGTATGCTAGGGAGAGGTTTCCACACCCTTATAAAAATGTTTTGTTCTCTTCTCCAACCGATGAGGGATCTCACAATCCATCCCCTTCGGGGTCTAGTGTCCCCACTGACACTCGTTCCCTTCTCCAATCGATGTGGGATCCTCCAATCTACCCCTTTGGAGACCCAGCTTCCTTGCTGGCACACCAACTCGTCCACCCCCTTTGGGGCTCAATGTCATCGCTAACATTCTTTATAAGAGTGTAAAAACCTCTCCCTAGCAGACATGTTTTAAAAACCTTAAGGGGAAGCCCAAAAGGGGAAAACCCAAAGAAAACATCTGCTTGCAGAGGGCTTGGGCTATTACAAATGGTATAAGAATTAGACACCGAGCAGTGTGCCAACAAGGACGCTGGGTCTCAAGGGGAGTGGATTATGAGATTCCACATTGGTTGGAGAGTAGAACGAAGCATTCCTTATAAAGGTGTGAAAACCTCTCACTAACAGATGCATTTTAAAACCTCAAGAGTAAGCCCAAAGAAAACAATACTAGCAGTTGGCTTGGGTCGTTACATTGAGGGAAGTGGAATCCCGATTTGCACTTTACGCATTCTTGGATTCTCTGATGTAATATGAAGTTCCATTAAGAAATCTCGAGGTAGGATCTTTTTTCCATTTCCTTAGGTCGTCATTCAGTCTGTGAAACTTGGATGGTTTTGTGTTATTCAGGGATGTTGATTGGAACAGAGCGTTTAACTTCTCATCTAATCTGGATTTCTTGTCTTCTTGCCTACAGAAGATGAATGGTATGAGCAATCCGCAACTGCTTAATATAAATCTTCCATTATTTATATTAATTATTAGCTCAAGAAAATCTTCCATTAACAGGACAGCGCCTGTGTACAGCAGCAGAAATCAAGTTTTACTTTGACAGTATCATCCTTCAGGCTCCCCCAACTGCTTCAACTGCTTCCTTCCTCCAACTGAAACTTAACAACAATTGTAATTTGACATCTTGGGCTTCTGGTTGTGAGCCAGGATGGGCATGCAGTGTCGGTCCCGATCAGCTCGTCGACCTTACTAATTCCCAGCAAATCCCTTCGAGAATGCATGATTGCCAAGCTTGTTGCGAAGGTTTCTTCTGTCCTAAGGGTCTTACATGCATGATTCGTAAGTATTTAGACCTATACCTGCTTGTTCTAGAAATGTAACCGCCCAAGCCCCCTACTAGCAGATGTTGCTCTCTTTGGGTTTTCCCTTCTGGGCTTTCCCTCAAGGTTTTAAAATGCATCCACTAGGGAGAAGTTTTCACACCCTTATAAGAAATGTTTCGTTCTCTTCTCCAACCGATGTGTGATCTCACAATCCACCCCCCTTGAGGGCCTAGCATCCTCGTTGGCACACCGCCCGATGTCCGCCTCTTATACCATTTGTCACAGCCCAAGCTCACCGCTAGCAGATACTGTCTTTTTTGAGCTTTCCCTTACGGGCTTCCCCTCAAAGTTTTAGAACGCGTCCACTAGGGAGAGGTTTTCACACCCTTATAAGGAATGTTTTGTTACCTTCTCCAACTGACGTGGGATCTCACAATCCACCCCCTTGAGGGCCCAGCGTCCTGTTAGCACACCACTCAGTATCTGGTTCTGATACCATTTGTAACCGCTTAAGTCCACTGCTAGTAGATATTGTCCTCTTTGGACTTTTCCTTCTGGGTTTTCTCTCAAGGTTTTAAAATGTGTCCATTAAGGAGATGTTTCCACACCCTTATAAAGAATGTTTCGTTCCCCTTTCCAACTGATGTGAAATCTCACAAGAAAGTTGCTCATTTTCATTTCCCTCGTAAATTTAAGCCTCTACAAGCTTGTTTTATACCCTTATAAGTAGCTGATTTGTGCTCACTTTCTAACACTGTTTTGTATCTGACAGCATGCCCTTTAGGAGCCTATTGTCCCCTTGCCAAGTTGAATGAAACAACTGGAGTATGTGAACCGTAAGTACAAACCATACCATGTCTGCCACTTTTCTATGTTCTTCAGCATAATGAAGTTATCCATTTTCTTGTTCTTGCAGATATCTTTACCAGCTACCACCTGGGCGGCCCAACCATACCTGTGGAGGAGCAAACATGTGGGCTGATGTTGGTCGTAGTGGAGAGATTTTCTGTTCAGATGGATCATTTTGTCCATCAACCACCCAAAAAATTCCTTGTGATAATGGGTATTCACTTGTTTCTAAGCACTGATATGTTATATAAACCATTGTTTACTGAGCTTTCGAATCTCATCGATCCATTTTGCTGCCATTGCAGACATTACTGCAGAAAGGGTTCAACTTCTCAAAATAGTAAGTGCGATACCAAATTCCATATCCTTGCACGTTCGAACCTCTATTTTTTCTCATCGATCTATTCTACCGGACGTATTGCAGGATGCTTCAAGCTTACTTCATGTGATGCTAACACTGCAAATCAGAATATCCATGCTTATGGAGTAATACTTTTAGTAAGTCATCTACTAACGTGAAAATCTGAGTAAAGGTAACAAGAAGGATAAGAGTCCGAACTTCGGAAGATTAAGGCACAACTCCTAACCTACTCGCCGATTAGGCCTCCAAGTCCTCTTCTTCCCCAATTTACCCCTGCCAATATCATTCTCTTCTTTCTGACTTTTCTTGTTCTACACTCAGACCCATGACTACGAGAAATGACTGCTTATTCAAGACTTGAATGGGAACTTTTCTTTGCTTATGCAGGTGGGTTTGGGCACTATGCTACTCATAATTTATAATTTCTCCGACCAAGTTCTTGCTGCTAGAGAAAGGAGACTGGCTAAATCCAGGGAGGCAGCAGCAAACAGTGCAAAGACAACAGCAAAAGCACAACAAAGGTGGAAAGCTGCGAAAAAAGCTGCAATGAAGCATGCAAGTGGTTTGCAAGTTCAACTATCACGAAAGTTTTCACGTGTGAAAAGCTCGGATACAGAACAATTTAAGATTTTGGATCAATCCAAATCTGATATGGACGATGATTTATCAACGTCATACTCACATATCCCAACCACATCATCC